ATTGAGTCTTTCTATCCATGAGCAAAGTATATTCTTCCATTTCTCCAGCTCTCTTTTTGTTTCTTGTAGTAATGTTTTGTAAATTTCTTTGAATAGATCCTTTATTCTTCTGGTTAGATTTACTCCCAAGTATTTGATCTTGTGATGGGTACTGTTTTTCTTAGCTCCAGCTATGTATTCTCTTTGTCACTATAGAGAAATCCAATTTATTTTTGTATGTGATCTTGTATCCTGCCACTTTGCTGAATTGGTCAACGATGTCCAGTAGCTTTCTTGCTGAGACTTTAGGGTTTTCTAAGTATATTATTATATCATTTGCATAGAGAAATAATTTTACCTCCTCTTTGCCAATTTGGATACCTCTTATTTCTTTCTCTTATTGCTATCACTTTCTATATAATATTGAATAAGAGAGGTGATAGTGAGCATCTTTGCCTAGTTTCTGTTCTCACAGGGGATGCCTTCAATCTCTTTCCATTGAGACAATATTGGCTTTCGGGTGTGCATATATACATTTTACTATGTTGAGGAAATTTCCTTCTAATCCTATTTTTGTTGAGTGTTTCAATCAGGAAAGAGTGTTGGATCTTATCAAAGGCCTTTTCTGCATCAGTTGATAGGATCTTGGGTTCTTGTTATTTGCCTTGTTTATATAATGATTTACATTGCTTGTTTTTCTTATTTTGAACCATCCTTGCATACCTGTTATGAATCCTACTTGGTCTTGGTCATCTATTGCTTAAATAACAGGCCTCTGAAAAGCCCAGACTGGAAGTCAGTGGAAATGAGGAAAAATAATGGTAAACATCTTTTAACAATTGGAAGATGGGATGTACATTGCTTGCATGTTGGAAAACTAGAAATTGTGAAAAATGACATTGAATGCATGAACATCAATGTTCTATGCATTATTGAGATGAGGACTAACTTTTCCCACTTAGAATAAGATAACTATATGGTACATTGTTATTGTCATCAAGTCACCTGTGACTCTAAGTGACCTTATGTTTAATAGCTCTGAAGCCTGCCCTGTCCTGATCCAGTCTTACTGACTTCAACACATGCACCTCCATTATCCCAGTTACCATGCCAATCCATCTCATCCAAGTTCTTCCTTTCCTGTGCTTTCCCTTCACCCTTCCTTCTCCAATGACTGGTCTTTCCTAGCCACATGCCCAAAGTATGTGAGATGGAACTTCAAAATCCTGACTTGCAAGGAGAAACTTGGCTTCACCTTATCCAAGACAGACTTGTTTGCTCTCTCGGCTATCCATGATTTGTTCAATAGTCTTCTCCAGCACCACAACTCTAAGGCATTGATTCTTTTTCTTTCATCCTTAGTCATTGTCCAGCTATCTGCTATAGAGGAAGTAATTTCAAAGAGCAGGTCTGTATCTGGTGCACTTTAGGTTCTAGACTGACATCTTTAGTATTTTGGAGAGGTCCTTGGCAGCAGAATTCCCGAATGCAATTAATCATTTTATTTCCTGATTGCTGCTACAAAACGTGTTGATCGTATAGCTGAGCAACCTGAAATTATTAACAACCTTAATCTATTCTCTATCCATCATGGTGCTACCAATTGGCCCAGTGGTGAGAGTCTTTGTCTTCTTGATGTTAAATTTCAATCCATATTGAAGACTACAGAATTGTATGGTATACTATAATAACTCAGGTTAAGATATGCTATATACTATATTAAAGTCCATGAATGGTGCAAATGGTTAAGTATGAGGCTATTAATTGAAAATCTAGCAATTTGACTCAACCCAGGGACACCTCAGAAAAAAGAGCTAGTAATTTGATTTCAAAACATCCCAGCTATTAAAGGATATATAGAACAGAGTTCTACTCTGAAACACGTGAGATAACCATGGGTTAGAATTAACTCTATGGTAATTTTGGATTTTTTTTCATATGCCATGTACACTATCACATACTTAGCTTGATTGTGTTCATGCAAAACCTAACTTGGACCAGAAAGCAGTACTTAGAACAGAGCAAGGAAACACTGCATGGTTCAGGATCAGGAAAGCTATGCATCAAGGATGTATCTTATCTCCATATCTTTCAATCTATATGCAGAACAAGTCATTCAGGAGGCTGGACTCTATAAGGAGGAATGTGGCATCAGGATTGGAGGAAGACTCACCAACAACCAGCGTTATGCAGATGAGACAACCTTGCTTGCTGAAATGGAAGGGGACATGGGGCATTTGCTACAGAAGGCCTCAAAGAACTGTAGTAGTCAATATTGATTGAAACTCATCTTAAAGAAAACCACTGGGCCAATTGGCAGCACCAAGGTGAATGGAGAAGAGATTGAGATTGTTGATAGCTTCAGCTTGCTTGGTCCCCCAATCAACACTCTTGGCACCAATAATCAGGAAATCAAAAGACAAATTGTACCAGGAAATTCTGCTGGCAGGGATCTCCCTAGAATACTGAAGAGCAACAATGTCCATCTGGAGACTAAAGTGTGCCTGATCCAGACTATGTTTTCTCAATTATTTGCTATGCATCTGAAGGCTGAGCAATAACTAAGGATGATAGAAAAAGTTTTGATGTCTTTGAGTTGTTGTGTTGGAGAAGAGCGTTGAAAATACCACGGACAGTCAGGAGAACAAACAAGTCTGTCCAGGAGAGAGTGAAATCAGGCTGCTCTCTGGAGGCAATAATTTTTTAAATATTTTATTTTATTTTATTTTGTGTGTGTACCATTAAATCTGGTCTGACTGGTACAGGGGGAGATTGCCCCTCCTTCTCCAGCAGAACATCTGGTGGATTTGAACCGTGTGCCTTCGAGATTGCAGTGCAGCTTCTTGTCACTAGGCCACCAGAGCTCTGGAGGCAAGAATTTTTGAGGCTCCATCTCACACACCTTGGGCACATGGCCAGGAAGGACCAGTCCTTGGAAAGGGAAATCATGCTTGGAAATGTGGAGGGACAGCACAAGAAAGGAAGACCCAGGATGACATGGATGGACTCAACGACTAGAGAAATGAGATTCAGTCTTTTGGAGATGGTAAGAATGGATCAGAATAGGGCACGTGTCAAAGCTCATGTACATAGGGTCGCTATGAGTCGCAGGCAACTCAATGGCACAAAACAAAAACAACAACAATCACAGATCCTTAAGAATATCCATATTAATAGTTCAAAGTAAATTATGAGTAATATTGAGAAGAATGGGAATTCTGGAATACTTAACTGTGCTGATGCCAACCTGACTCTGAACCAAGAAATAGTCATCTATAAAGAAGGAGAGAATACCGCATAATTTAAAATCAGTAAAGGTGTACCTCAATGTTGGATCATTTCACCATACCTATTCAATTTGTATGCTGATAAATAATACAAACGATTATATTAACAAGCAAGTGGCATCAGATTTGAAGGAAGACTCAGCACCAATCTGCCTCATATAAATGACACAACATTGCTTGCAGAAAGTGAAGAAGACTTGAAAGAATTATGGAAGATGTAAGACTAGAGCCTTCAAGATTATACCTTAATATTAAGAGAATAAAAATATTTACAATTGCACAAATAGACAACATTATGATAAAAAAAGAAAAGAACAAAGTTGTCAATAATTTAAATTTGCATTTTCATATGTTTACATAGGGCCACAGTGAGACAAAAACACTATGTAAAATGCCTATCACTCCACATCAATATGTACATATCTTATAATTTCCTTTCCAGTTGCTGAATATTCCAATTTGTGGATATGCCATAGTTTCTTCAAATAGTCTAGTGCGTAAGAAGATGTGCTTTGAACCCAAAGGCAGGCACTCCAGATCTGCCAAGGAAAGATGGGCAGTCTCCTCCCATGCAATTTACACTCTCTGAAAACCCACTGGAGGGCCAGCTATATGTTGGTTCTAACTCACTGGCATGAAACAACAACAATTCTAAATTAAGGAGGTTGGGTGTTGTAGTCCATAGGAATTTGCACTGATAATCTAAAGGGCACACCTCTGAGATAGAATCCATCAGCTGTTCTGTAGGAGTAAGATGGTTAGAATCAGCTACTCTGTAAAAGTAAGTTTGAGCAAACTCCCCAAATACAACTTACAGCCCTGGAAAAACACTAGACTCACCCAGTCAGTTACAACTCAACGACAACGATTTTGAGTTTGATTCTATATTCATAGGTATTATTGTTATTACCAAAGAAGAGGAAAAGCTGTGTAAGAGAACTTTGTCATATCTTTCTGGGCTTTTCAAATATCTTTGATAAAGAGTCTTAGAAGTGGTAATACTTTTCAAAGCCAAAACATATGTGCAATCTTGTAGGTACATAATTGATTAATTCTAATATTAATTTATATTTTCATCAGAAAGAAGTCAACAAAACATATAACTGTGAATATTTAGGTCTTAGCAAAGTTCCTGACTTTCTACCAAACACAACAGAAGTTTTGGATTTCAGCTTTAATTTCTTGCCTACAATTCAAAATACAACCTTCAGAAGGCTCATTAATCTCATCTTTTTGGATTTAACCAGGTATGTATCTGTTTGTTTGCTGGGTTTGTGTGTTAGATAAGAAATAACCCAACTTATATTGAAACAGTTTCTAGGACTTTCTTTTCTACACAAACACAACTTTTCCCCATGAAATAAGCTTATGCAGGTAAAATAATTTTAAGAAACACTAAGCAAAAAAGAAGAAAGAAAATGGTTCTCTGAAAAGTTGACTGAGCAAAACTGGATGAAATATGTTTACGGCATTGAAGTCTATGGGGGAGAGAATAGTCTAAAAGTATTATATTTTAGGGCATTATTTTTATCGTAGGAGT